TCGAGCAAGCCAGTTAGTTCAAGTATAAAGGAAGCAGCATCCACCTTCTAATCCAAATTTGGCGAGGAAGATACTGGAGCCTTAGTTAGCTCCGATTGACGTCGCGAACAGGAAAAGCAAATACGGTCATTTTTTAAACCCAACCGATGGTTTCATTCCGCGGCATCATCGCTTGAATATTGAGTGTAACGTACCACGTGGCAATTTATTTATACATATATCGTGTATTTGGCCGCTGTTTGCTGTTAGTGGCATGGACGATTATCGAAAGAGCTCGGAAAACCCAGCGGGGCACAACTATCAAGGACCAGACGTGGGTCCCGCAACACTGCTGTCAAACAGTATCCACGTGGCAACGGCCTTGTGGTCCAGGGTCATGGCCTAATTTACGGTACTGCCATTGGTAAAGTGGGGACCGGAACCGCTCCGTCGCCCTGCAACGTGGGCCATAAAAAATAAGTCTTTTTTTGGCAAACATGTAAATGTGAAAACCGTGCCAGAATGCCATGTTAGTTTAAGAAAAAGAACTAGAAATTTCAAATTCTGAGCTCAACTAAATTGGTGTTCATATTACGATTCACCTACTAGAAATTGGTCATGTTAATTAAGGACAAAATTATATGCTAAAAATTAGATTATGCATTTTAGGTGCAACTTCCTCGCTGCGGCGCGGTGGGAAAACACAGAATTGTTCACTTGGATCCTGCGGTGTGGCAGCATTTTAAGAAGTGCGTCCCTGAATGCAGGTCGCAGTACTTGATTTTATTACTTTCTCGCCCTCTCTCTCGGCTCTCTCAGATTTTTGTCATATTTTCTCCTCTCTCGCGTCTCTGCAGTCATATTTTCTCCTCTCTAGCGTCTCTGCAGTGAGGAAACCTCTCCTCTCTCACGACTGCATATGACTACTTTGCACTCCATCCTCCTATGGTATCCTATATCATTTCCCTTTAAGGATTGAGGTTCATTTGGACTGTGTGGCTCTCTTTTTGTGATTCATTGTTTTGATATACTTTGAAATCAATATTATACTATTATGAGGATTGGATTTTGAATTTTTGTACCCACTATCATTTTTTTTTATGTTTTTGTTTTCTGCCCTACTCGGTTTCTAGTTAAATGTGTTTTGTGACTTGCTTCTTTTTTTATTTATGGTCCCTAGAATAAATGGACTATAAATTTGTGGGCTGTGGAATAATTAGACTTGGAATTTGTGGCCTCTATAATGAATATACTCTAAATTTGCTTACCTCTATGAATTTTGGAGCTTGGGAAGCTCTTTCTGGTTTGTGGCCTCTGTTTATGCTCCATTTCTCAGTTTGGTTGGTCTAGGTGGGTTGATCTCTTTCTCAGGTGGAATGTGCATTGTGCTTGGCAACCTTCAGGCGGTTGGGGTGGTTGGGAGGTGTTTTGTAGGTAGTATGTGTGTTGGTGTGCTAATGTAGTGGTGGTAGTGTGCCTAGATGGGAGTAGTGGTGGTGGCGTGTTGGAGTGGTAGATGGGAGTGATGATTTTGGTGTGTTTATTGGTGGTTGTGGTGGTTTGTTTGTGTGGTGGTGGTGTTGTGTTGGGTTGGTGGTAGTGTGTTGGTCGCGTTGATGTAGTGGTGGTATGTTGGTGTTGATAATTTAGTTATGGTGGTGTGGTGGTGTTGATGGTGTGGTGGTGGTAGTGTGTTGGTTGTGATGATGTGGTAGTAGTTGTACATTTGTGTTGATGATGTGATGGTGGTGGCAATGTTATTGATAGTGTGTTATTTGTTGTGATGATGTGGTGGTGGTGGTATGTCTGTATTGATGATGTGTGGTGGTGTGCTAATGTTGATGATGCAGTGGTGGTGGTGGTGTGTTGATGCTAGTGACGTGATGTTGGTGGTGTGTTGATGTTGATGGAATGGTGGTGGTGGTATTGTTTGTGGTAATGCATTGGTCGTGATGATATGGTGGTGGTGGTGGTAAGTTTTGTTGATGATGTGATGGTGTTGTGTTATTGTTGATGATGTGGTGGTGGTGGTGTGTTGTTATTGATGATATGGTAGTGGGTGTGTGTTGATGTTGATGGTGTTGGTGATGGTGTGTTGGTTATGATGATGTGGTCATGTTGGTTAGTTGATGTTGATGATGGAGTGGTGGTGTTGGTGAAAGATGGTGGTGGTGTGCTGGTGATTGTGTGTTGGTGGTGATAATGTTGGTTATAATGTGTTGGTTGTGATGATATGGTAGTGGTGGTATGATGTTTTTATCATGCAGTGGTGGTTGTGTGCTGGTGTTGATGAAATTTGGTAGTGGTGGTGTGTTGGTGATAGTAGTGTCAGCAATAATATGATGTTGTGATGATGTGAAGGTGGTAGTACGTTGATGTTGATGATGCAATTGTGTGTAGATGACAAATGTGTAGTGGTGGTGGTGTGTTGGTGACATGAAAAAAAAATAAAAAAATTGACAAAAGCAGTTTTCGTTTCAAAAAATGCTCACCACCACTCTCTCTACCCACTACTCCTCTAAAGCACCAATTATTAGCATTATCAGATCCCAACCTAAGCCAATCGATCCCCACTTCAACTCTTTTTTAGCTGATTCCACTTATTTCTTAACTTCATCCTATCGTACTCTCTGCTTGTATTTTCTTTAAAATTTTTAATAATATTTTGCCAAACATTCTTGTTGAAATAGGTTGTCGGCCTATTTTTAAATTCAACCTCCATGAAGTAAATGCCACAAAATATTAATTATCTATTTATCCCACATTGTTGATAAATCGATCTCTTCTATCTTAGTCATTGTATTACTAGCATGAAAACAACTAATCAACATGAATAGAAATGCCACAATATTGCAACTCAAAGAAAAATAAGAATGTCACAATAGCATTATCAATACTTGTTCACACCAAACTACACCACCAAAAAAGAACCACTGTCATCATCTCCACACACTAACACCTCCACACACCAACACATCAAGACACCAACACATCCACAACCACCTCCACAAAACCACCACCTTCACACATTCATTGACACATCCTCCAGTACAAACACAACCACACATCAACCAGCACCTCCAAATATCCACCAACACATCCTCTAACACAAACACAACTACACACCAACCACCACCTCTGCACATCCACCAATACATCCTTTAACACAAACACAACCACAACCACACTCCAACCACCACTTCCACACGCAATAATACAAACAAACGTACACCACCACCTCTACATTCACAACATTACTATATACAAATAAAGCACCCTCTTTCAGCTATTTTTAAATTTTTTGTCAAACAACAAAGGTACAGATAAAACCCCAACCCATAATTTTCATTTGATGCAATTCTATACAAGGCACATGAAACATTTGCTATCAACAAATCAAACACTCCCTTTAAACACTTGTTCAAATTCTCCGTCAAACATCAAAGATAAAGATAAAACCACACCTCATATTTTTCATTTGATGCAATTCCATACATGGCACTTGAACCATTGCTATCAAATCACGCTGACCCTTTTAGCCATTTTTCAAATGCTCTTTCAAACATTAAAGGTAAAGATAAACTTAATTATAACTTTATTATTTGAAGCAGTTACATACAAGACACTCAAAATATTGCAATCAACAAATTAAGCACTCTTTTCAGTCATTTCTCAAATTCTCACTCAAATAATAAATGTATAGATAAAATTCTAAACCATATTACTTTTTTAAGGCTACTACATACAAGACACCCGAAAATATTGCTATCAACAAATTAAGCACCTCCTTTCAACTATTTTGTAAATTCATAATCGAACATCAAATGTAGAGGTAAAACCTTATTTCATATCAGATTCAGCTGCAAAATCACAAAATCCAAATTCTCACTTCAAACTACAAATGAAAAAATCAAAAATAGCAAAATCTATATTCTCATTTCAAACCGCAAATGAAAAAGTCACAAATCTCAAAGAGAAAGTCATTCCGTTGAAAAAAAAATAGGTGACACCGTGGGGGGACACAGAGCACATTAAATAGACAGAATGTCAAAGAGAGGAGGGAGGAGAGAGGAGGGAGAGGAGAGACGCAACCCATTGCTACCAGTGATCAGAAGGAAGAGAAAAAGGAGAAAGACAACTCATTGCTACTGGAGAGAGGCGAGAGAGAGGAGCGATTGAGAGAGGCGCGACCTAGGGCAGAAGAAATGTGAAAGAGAGGACAACCGTGAGAGGGGAGCACAGAGAGGGGCATACGAGAAATAGACCCGTGAAGAAATACAAGCCATGTGGTCAAACCCATGACCCATGTTTAACTTAACCTTTTAAGCGACGCAAACGCACCGCGGTTTCCAAATGCTACATCCAATTTTTTCAAATTTGACCGCACCAAATAAATAATGATAATTTTTAAGTTGATATTTTTTTTACCCACGTAAATGCCAGAAAAGTAAAAATTCAAGAAAAATACATTATATGAAGCAGCCATTTAATTCTGAAAAAATAAAAATTTTTCCATATAAGCAAACTTTTCACAGAAAAGAGAAATAAAGAGAATCGGCTGGTCAGGTTCTTCTCCCGCACTTTCACCGCTCCCCCGTGAGGGGACGGTGGCCAGTACAGCTTGCCCGGCACCAAGGGCTGAAGGGTAGACGGCCATTTCAGATCGATGACTTTTAGAAGGCGCGGGTGACGGCCAAACTTGACCGTTGGTGTTGGGAATTGTCCAAAGAGCCGTTTGGGTCTCAGCACCATTGCGCCTGCTTTGCCAGGCTTGCGGACCCCACACTCCACCTCGTATCCCCCACCACATCCGTATGATGGCCATAAGGCTTCATCATCATCATGATCCCTCATGTTCTTAATCCCATCCCCATCACATGGTCTCGCTGTAACTGGGCCCAAACACAGCCCACTACCCTTGCGTGCAGCGCTGTCTATGTCTAATCATTAATGCTAAATATCATTATAATACTGTAATTACTATTAAAAAATTAATTTATAATATACCCTCGGTTATGTTCTCAGGCTCTTATCCATAAATTGCGCCCACACTTCCTCTTCTTCCTCGTTACGCCACCAAAGCAGAGCACGGAGTGAGTCCGCGAGATCGAGCAGAGGAAGAGAGCGCTAGAAGAATGTCGAAGGAAGTAAGCGTGGAGCCGGAGCAGCAGCAGCAGAAGGACTATACAGACCCACCGCCGGCTCCGCTGCTGGATTTGGGCGAGCTCCGCCTCTGGTCATTTTACCGCGCTCTCATCGCGGAGTTCATTGCCACTTTACTCTTCCTCTACGTCACCGTCGCGACCGTCATCGGCTACAAAAAGCAGGCAGCGGCCGATGCATGTGATGGCGTCGGCATCCTTGGCATCGCATGGTCCTTTGGTGGAATGATCTTTATTCTCGTCTACTGCACCGCTGGGATCTCCGGTCTGTATTTTTCTTCTTTCGATTCACATCTCAGATGTTTTCGTTATTTTTTCTTTCTATTTTTCTCAAGTGCGTGGATTGTTTTGCAGGGGGGCACATCAACCCTGCGGTGACGTTCGGGCTATTCTTGGCAAGGAAGGTATCGCTGGTTAGAGCTGTGTCCTACATCATCGCTCAGTGCCTCGGCGCAATCTGCGGCGTTGGGATCGTGAAGGGTATAATGAAACACTACTACAACTCGCTGGGCGGGGGAGCTAATGAAGTGGCCGCCGGATACTCCAAGGGTACAGCCCTAGGGGCTGAGATCATCGGCACCTTCGTCCTCGTCTACACCGTTTTTTCAGCCACCGATCCCAAACGCAACGCCCGGGATTCTCATGTTCCGGTTCGTACCACTATTTATCTTACATTCTGAGTTCTTAGGGTTACTGCTTTTTTTAAAGATGATTGCCCCCTTCGTTAGGTCTTGGCTCCGCTTCCTATCGGATTCGCCGTCTTCATGGTCCACCTGGCAACCATTCCCGTCACTGGAACCGGCATCAACCCTGCCAGGAGCCTTGGCGCTGCTGTCATCTACAACAAACACAGCGCTTGGCATAATCATGTATGTCATCCGAAACATTTCTTGTTTGAAGTACCATCTGATTTTCTGTCTCTCTTACGTCGATTTAATTCTGCAAGCGCAGTGGATCTTCTGGGTGGGTCCTTTCGTTGGAGCTCTCGCTGCGGCGGCCTATCACCAGTACATCCTCCGGGCGGCGGCGATCAAGGCTTTGGGCTCCTTCCGCAGCAACCCCACCAACTGAGCTCGTATGGATCCCGCCTTCACTTGTCACTCTTCTTCTTGTTCTGTTGTGTGACCTTGAGAGTGAGAACTGTGAGGTGTAGAACAGCATTTCATCTTTTTCTTCTGTGAATTTGATTTGTGAATGAGAACGATCGATGCATCAGAGTCTACTGTAATAGTTTTAGGGGATTTCTACTGTTTATTTAGCTGTTGGTTTGTGTTCTCAAAGTTCAAATTTTCTGAAATTGTGGTGCTCGTCACCATCGCCTTTAATTCAAATCAGCGATTGTTTTCTTGCGATTTAAGTTTAGAGCTTCACTCGCAGGTTCGGTAATTCAAAAAAGGAATCGCAGGGAAAAGAGGCCATGTGCTTTCGAATTTTTATTTGAATTTTCTTACTTTTGTTGTTACTCCAGGCTTTGTGGCTCTCAATTTGATGTTGCCGTTTGTGTAGCGGAAGCTTCACGTTCATTTTATTTAGTGGGCCTGGCTTTTGCTGAAGGCTTGAGCTGAAAGGGAGGGCGTACGTGTCGGTTTTATACTGGTCTTTGTGGATAGAAATGAGATTTAAAAATGCTTTGTCCCTCTCGATTTGAATGGCATTTATGCCCGGGGTTGCAATTTTTTTTATTTATTTGTATCTGGAAAATAATAGTTGAATAGGGAAGAATCTTTTCCTTTAATTAGATATTTTTTAATCAATAATTATTTAATCTTTCACATAAAATCTACCACCCAATTTTTGCGCTTCTACCTATCTTTGAAATTTTATTTTTTATATTTATATAACATAATATTTTCATATAAACTGACACTTTTATTAAACATAGGCAAGGTGGCCACTTCATAAAAATTAAAATTTAGGCGTTATTTATTTGATTAATCACATTTATACATTATGAGGTAGCAAAATGCTAGCAAAAAAATTTTTTTTTATATGTGTGCATATCATATCTTGGTTTTTTTCAGTGTTAAGGTTCGAGTGTGGGTGGTGTAATTTGGGGGGGTGACCGTTGCACTTTTAATTTTAACTTTGGTTTCAAGCACTTGGTGCCCTGTAACATTTTGAAAGTTGATGTATATTGTCAAGATATCAGTACAATGATTTGATAATTGGTACTGAATATAACACTAATATAAAAAAAAACTTTCGTAGCATTTCAAACAAATTATTGCAGCGGTATCAATTTATGTTATTTTAGTTGGACTGGTTTCTAAACATCAATAATTATTAGCGGCAGTCTTTAGGCCCCATTTGGCATGATTGTATAACTGCTGTGCATTTTAAAATCTCCGTTACTGACGTTCGGAATCTGTGGTGCTGCAGCTTTTAATGAAGGTTTTGAGTTATTTCTTAGAAAGCTTGTGTTTTAAGCAGTTTAGAATTATCTGGAAAAGTTTTAGTTTAGAATTTTTCTTAAAAGGTTTGGTTTCGATTGGTTTAAATTTATTATGGGTTTAAGTTTAATTTTTAGTAATTTTTAAAAATTTATGGTTAAAGATTTTAAAATTTCATTAGAGTTTAGGCTTAAATTTATTAAAAAGATTTTACTTAATTAGATTGAGTTTATTAAATGATTTTTTGCTAAGTAATATAATTTTGGATATGGTTTTTCAGAGAGGTTTCTCTTGGGTTAAGTTTTTTTATTATTAAATGGAAATTTGTTTTTAAATTCAGTAAGGGCGTTTAAACTTCATTTTGAGAAGAGATTTGTTTTATTTTTTAAAAGATGTTATTTAAGTTTCTTTTTAAGGAGCTTTTAATTTTGAATTTTAAAAAAGTTATTAAATTTTATTTGAAGTTACTTTTTAAATCCTTAATAGAGGTTCTCTTGAGCTTGAACCTTGATAAACTTCAAATTTTAAGAATTTTTAGCACACTTAATTGATGTATTAAATTATATTCTTTAGGAAAGAGATACTATTTAGAGCATATTACATTTATATATAATTTTATAAAAATATAAATTTTCTTTTCTTTTTTAAAAAAATTTGGGCACATATGCTTTGCTATAGCTCTCTCTGTCTTCTATCTCACTTAGCGTAAGGAGTTAAATCCTTCTCTATAAGTAACACCAACCACAAATTATAGGTAATCCTAAGGTTATATCTATCATGGAATCACAACTTACATAGATCAAAGGAACATCCATCTTGCATGGGCCTTCAAACATGTGAAATCATCCAACATGCCTAATAAACATCCCAACTTGCATGAGTATAAATATCATAAAATCTATAATTGCATATGCATAAATATAATTAAATCCCAACTTGCATTTGCATATAAAGCATAGAGCTATCTAAGGGTTCTATAAGAATTTATCTCTCCCACTTTTTAACATGAAGCATAAAGTAACATGGATTTGACTAAAATAATGCATATGTGAAATGGATTTTTTTGGCTTTGTTTTGTAACATGAAATATAATTTTTAACACATGAATTTAACTAACATGAAACTAGACAAAATAGGTTAACATGGACATTTTTGTTTTTAATTTTTGAAGTTTGCCTCATAGAGTTTAACATAGATTTTTCTAACGTGAAATATATGTAAACATGGAGCATAAATCTGCACGGGCTAACATGGAGTTTCATTATAACATAACATTACATAACTAGGCATTTGCAAGGACATTAACTCATAAGCACATAGTTTATAGGTTTAAATTAATAAATACTTAGTGGGTAAGCACACCACTTTAAGACATGCACAAATAATCTCACATCAACATAGGTTTTAAAAGTTCTGAATCTTTTAATCATAAATTTCAATTAATTTTAAAATCTTATGAGGATTTTGTAGAAAAGTTTTATAACCTTAGGTCCTAGAAAGCTTAAGTGACAACGTTAGATTCCCAGACAAAAAAAAAAAATCCAAAAAAGATGAAGTCAATTCAAGCATACAAACATGCAAGAAAGACAGTAAAGCAAGCCAAATATAAAAGAATAAAAGGTCAATGCCATCGAATCAACGACATATCTCATAAATAGAAAAAGGTGGCTAGGCACCACATAAGTACATACCTGATCTTAATTCTTTAGATCATCATGACTTAAATTTAAGGTACGGGGAACAAAAAAGCAGCTCTTTATCCCCGTCACATGGTTTTCCCCGCCTGACACCTCAAAACTCATGTTCGTACCTTATTTCTAATATTAGAATTTTCTAAGGAATCTAAACTGCATAGTAAAAGAGAGAAGAGGATTTGACCTACAAGAAAACATTGTTAGTAAGAATCCAACAAGCATGCAATGCCTATGAGCCATTCGGTGACATGAGGACCTAAGTAGTGCCTGCATAAATGAGTTATTCATAATCATTACATTGCTCCTCCTTGTTATACGTGAGGTGTTAACTTTAGGCATGGATCACTGCAAGGAGACCAACCTAATATACTACATGCAAATCAAAATACTAAACATGCAAGCACGCCAAAAGCATAAAAGATGATGTTTGACTAGAGCATCCAAACTGGCAGAGAACTTTACCTAGGCATTGAAAAAGTTTACCTAGCATCCTAATCCTTAGCCTAAAACACCATATAAAGTAGTACTCTAACCAGCATCTAAGTGAGTGCAGGATTATGTCAGCAGACTAAAATATGTTTTGATAGGGTCACCATCACTGGTCGGTCATAAGGATCGAAGGATTCTAAAAGATGCCACTAGATGTAGGCTTTGAAAAACTTTGAAAAAACTGACCTCATGTACGATCTAAGCTAAGTATGCAAGCAATTTCTAAATAACTCTTGAAAGTATGATGCATATATAATAAAAATATAAATTTTTTATATTTTCAAAATAGTTTCTATGGAAGAAAAGCCCAAGTGACACATACCCCTCGGAACCATAACACAGTGTACGTGTCCTAGTCACGGTGCTATAGTTAGTATTTCCTATCGAGACATCCTCATGGGCAATACTAGCTGCCATGCCATGATTAACAGGGAGTCACTTAGCTAATGAGCTAGTTTCATTGTAGAGAAGATTGGAAAAATGCACATGAAAATACAAAATGATCGAAAGCTTACAAACATTCGCCACTAGTATACAATGCATACACTAGTGACAAATGCGTCTGCAAGTACTGTATGATGCATGCAAAACATACAACAAAAGTGAGGATGAGTGTCTAGTGAAGCTAGTGACTTAAAGAATGGGTATGTCATTGAAGCAATGATTTTAGAGGGTGGGTGTGTCGTAGATGCGGTGGATCAAAGGGCGGGTGTTTCATAGAGAAAGTGACCTAGAGGATGATTGTGTCATGAAGGCAGTGACCTAGGGATGAGTGTACCGTGGAGGCAGTGACTTGAGAGATGGGTGTGTCATAGAGGTAGCGATCCGAATGGTGGGTGTGTCATGGAGGCAGTAACTGATACACCAAAAAAAATGTAAATTTTTTTTTATACTTTTTATGCTTAAAATTTATGATATTACACTTTAAAGAAGGGTATTTTCATGTTTTATTGCATTTATATCTATTTTAGGAATTTGGAACAAAAAGAAGCAAAAAGGAGGAAATTTGGAGTCAAAATGGAGCTTTTCAACATCCTAGCTCCAGAATTTGCGCCAGAGGCGCCATTATACAGAGAGCTGGCATCAAAGGCACCAGAAAATAGCATCAAAGGTGCCATTTTATAGATAAGTAGCATCAGATGTGCCAAAATTGGCGCCAGAATCTAGAGAATAGCGTAAAACTTCAATACACAGGCGTCAGAGGCACCAAGGACAAATTCAAACAAAGTAAGGTGATTATTGACTATTTTTGAGTGGTTCTAGAAGGCTCCAATCAATTCAAATGCCCCATGGAGTGATTCAATGCATCTAAACACTTTGGAAAGGCTCTTGAATGAAGAGATATGACTCTTAGATGAAGGGGCTTGTCTCTTGGTGTGAAGAGGTGTGCCTTTTGGAAAAAAAAGGAGGGAATTTTGAATTCTGTTTGAATGGAAGGCTAACCCTAATTAAGGGAGGAGAGTCTAGAGAGAGGGGGCGTGAGGTTTAGTAGAGATAGAGAGTGGTGTGAGAGAGATTTTCTTTTAGAGTTGTAAGAGGAGAGGGAAGGTAAGAGATTTCTTCATCATTACATTTCTAAGAGAGAATTTAGTGCGATTTTAAAAAGAGAAAGTGCTTAAAGGGAACTTCAAGAGATTTTCTTGAGAAGGAGTGTGAGATAAGTTGTGTTCTTTTCTTGATTTGTTTTGTAAAATTATTTATATATATATAATCTATGTTTTTTTGTATCATTTTCATGAATTTTGAGTAGTTTTCTTTATCCTTCTCCCTAC